AATATGGAAAAAGAATGAAGCAATGGGAATCCAATTTGGGCGGGCGTATGTACAGAGAAATAAACCGCCTATTACGGTACAATGGGAGTCGCGGGAGGGGGGGGGGGTACTTGGCTAGACACTACTATTACATTCTTGTTAAGAGCGTTGGTCCTTCATAACAACCTTAACACTGCTATAGAAGCGCTTCAGTTCCTTTATTGCCCTTTCCTCTATCTGGATTGACCGGATAGGTGAAGGCGCCTGGATTTCTGGCTTGAACCAGCGGTTCAAACCGCTGTTAGAGTCCGATGGTGACCCACTGGACATAAGTGAGGAGGATCCTGCAGTTGTTGGGCTTTTAGATAGGCCGTGCTGGTAGTGTCTCTTCCCCTGTAAATAAGACAGACAGGCAGACACATAAAGGATGATAAAAGGCATATAACCATAATAAATGCAGGGGCCTCTAGCCATGTAGGAGAGTGTGCTTTCGCATACCTGCTGCTGGGATTGTATGTCCCTGAGAGAGGGGCGCGAAAGAGGAGAGCCGCTTCCGGCAGATGTGGTGGCAGCCCAGGGAAGAAGAGTGTTGTTCCTTTCTTCATCTGGTGTGGCCCTTGATTGTGTTGTTGATGTTCTTGGAGAAGAAGAAGAAGAAGAAGCATTAACTGGTAATGGATTAGCTGATAAAAACACGCTTAATTGTTTCTTCCTCCCTCTACTGATGAGGCCATCCACCTCCAGCTGCTGCTGCTGCCCATGGCTGCCCTTCTTAACTTGTTGTGTTTCCTTTACTTTGTTCTGTTCATTCTGTATTTCGCGAAGAGATGTAGACAACCCTTTCCCTATCTTTGCACCTCCCCAAGCCGGGCCTTCAACTTTTGGAGATACTAGTGGAACCACCTCGACTTTAGGAACATCATCAAGACCGCCACTCAAAAACATGGAGAGCCCACCTTTTCTATTCTTCTTCTTACTTAGCTTATTAGGTGACGGTTTTGCACTTTTCTGGGAGCAACCAAAATCTTCTTTCTTTAAGGAGGAAGGAGATTTGTATGAATCTTGGTCAACCCCATCTGCTTCCAAATGCTCGACCTCCTACCAGTCGCAAAAATATATAAATACAACTGCTATGATAATACTGTAAGAGACAATGGTCCATAATTATATTCAACACTAAGCTCAAAGGCATTCATAAATATGTAAGCAACCATAATTTGCTTTATTTTAGCTGAATGCTCCCTGACACCACTTTCCTTTACAGTGTACACATGGGGTTTTATTTGAAGAAACAATCAGATGACAGACTGGTAAAAGGTAGTCGCTTTCCACACACACACACATATCCACAGAGTTTCTGTCATCAAAATACTCCCTCCGTCCACAAAAAAACTTCCCACTTTCCTTTTTCGTCCGTCCACAAATAAACTTCCCATTTCCTTTTTTGGAAAGTTTTTAATACTAAAAAGACTTAATTACCCTTCATTCACTCTCTCCCCTTATCTTTTTTTCTCCATTCTCTCTCTCCCTTATCTTTTTTTCTTCACCCAACCACACCTTTTTCTTCTTCTCCGTTCTTATCCTCTTTTCTTCACTTCTCTTTCTTTTCTCTTTTCTTCTTCATCTTCTTTCTCTTCTACTTCTCCGTTCTTCTTCATCTTCTTTCTTTTTTCTTTTCTTCTTCTTCTTCTTCCTTTTCTCTTTTCTTCTTCTTCTTCTTCTTCTTCTTCTTC